CACTCGTCACTTCTGTCTCTTAGCTATTGTGAAAAGAGCATCAACAAACATGGATGTACAAGTGTCTGCAATAGGGTGAGTTCTTTGGGTAGATACCAAGAAGTGGTATAACTGGGTCAAATGGCAGGTTCATTTGTAGTTTTTTAAGAGTTCTCCACACTGCTTTCCATAGGGGTTGAACCAGTTTGCAGCCCCACCAGCAGTGGATGAAAGTTCCCCTTTCCCCACATCCTCTCCAACATTTGGTATCATTTGTTCTCTTGATCTTAGCCAGTCTGACTGGGCTAAGATGAAATCTTAAAGTAGTTTTAATTTGCATTTGCCTAATTACTAATGATGTTGAACACCTTTTAAGATGCTTCCTAGCCATCTTTATTTCTTCTTTTGAGAACTATATGTTCAGATCCTTGGCACATAGTTACCTCTTGTCTTGATTCTCTGTTTTTTGAGTTTGTTATGTATTCTGGATATTAAACTTCTGTCAGATGTGTCGCTGGTGGAGATTTTCTCCCATTCTGTGGGTTTTCTGTTTGCTTCCCTGGTTGCCTCCTTTGATGTACAGAAACTTTTTAGTTTAATGAGGTCCCATTTGTTAATTCTTGCCTTTGTTTCCTGAGCAATTGATGTCCAGTTTAGAAAATCCTTTCCTACACCTATATCTTGTAGGTTTTTCCCAATGTCTTCTTCTAACAGTTTCAGAGTTTCAGGCTTTACATTGATGTCTTTGATCCATTTGGAATTGACTTTTGTGCAGAGTGAAAGATAGGGGTTTAGTTTCATTCTTCTACAAGTGGAGATCCAGTTTTGCCAGCACCATTTGCTGAACATGCTGTCTTTCCTCCAGTGAGTATTCTTGGCTCCTTTGTCAAATATCGTATCAGGTGGCTGAAATTGCATTTACTCATATTTGGATCTTCAGTTTTGTTCCATTGGTCTATGGGTCTATTTTTGTGCTAGTATCATGTTGTTTTTATGACTGTAGCTCTGTAATACAACTTAAAATCTGGTATAGGAATGCCCCCAGCATTGCTCTTAGCGCTCAGGGTTGCTTTGGCTATCCAAGGTCTTTTGTGCTTCCATATGAATCTTAGGATGGTTTTCCAATTCTGTGAAAAATGTCATGGGGATTTTGATTGGCATTGCATTGAATCTATAAATGGCTTTTGGTAGGATGGTCATTTTCACAATATTAATTTTTCCAATCCATGAGCATGGGAGGTCCTTCCATTTTCTGATGTCTTCCTCAATCTCTTTAAAGATTTAAAATTTTCATTGTAGAAGCCTTTAATGTCTTTGGTCAGGTTTATTCCGAGATTTTTTTTTTTGCAGCCATTGTGAAGGGGAGTGTTTCCATGTGCTCTTTCTCTGGTTGCTTGTTATTGGTATATAGAAAGGCTACAGACTTTTGTAGGTTAATTTTGTAACCTGCCACTTTACTGAATGTGTTAATAATTTCTAGCTTTCTGGTGGAATTTTTGGTGTCTCTTAGATATAATATTATATCATCCGCAAAAAGGGATAATTTCATCTCTTCTTTTCTAATTATTACTCCTTAATTTCCTGCTCTTATTGCTCTTGCAAGAGTTTCCAGCACTATGTTAAAGAGAAGTGGGGATAGCGGGCAGCCTTGTCTGGTTCCTGATTTCAATGGGAATGCTTCCAGTTTTCCTGCCTTTAGAATGATGTTGGCTGTGGGATTGTTATATATGGCTTTAATTATGTTGAGGTATGTTCCCTCCAGTCCAATTCCCTCTAGGACTTTGAACATAAATGCATGTTGAATTTTGTCAA